AGAAGAGGTTCAAGCCCTAAGTAGTCAGTATTCTGGCAAATGTTTTATCGGTCAAATCAACAATACTTGGCAACTATTTTAGAACCGTCTGCAAAAGCATGCTTTGATGGCCAATATTTAAATATGAAATACCACTGCATATGGCAGTCAATTGATATACCAAAAGCCTGCTCATTCATAATCTTTATAATTTAATTAAAACACAATGCATTGTATCTTGAAAATTCATATTGCTTCCTTGTAGACTGTTAGGGCTAGACTCATCATGACACTCAGCATCATACAACACCTAACTTGTAGGTGCATAGGGAGCCACTGGAATTGACAAAGCTTGAATGTGGTGCTCTGGCTTCTATACAATGAATCCTGGGAGATAAGGTACCTAAGATTGGGATACTCAAAAGCCATCTTGATAGGCAGCTTCCTGCCTATAGCAGCCAATGGGAGATGCTGAGGAGAGAGATGCATTCCAATCACTGCCCCTTTGAGAGAATTTGATGCCTAAATTCAGTCTGCAGGGTTATCTGGGAATCCTCTCTTGGAGCCAGATGCTGAAAGTGTTTCTTGCAAGAAGAAATCAGAGGATTTTCTTTTTAACTTGTAACCCCGTGTCACGTTACCGGTGTTTAAGGGAAGCAACCAGGTCACTGCTGTGCCCATGGGGGAGTGTTTGCCCCAAAAGTTGGTACAAAAGGGGCCATGTGAGGTGTCGAATTAAAGCTTACATTCTACTGATTCTGTATATGCTCTTCATATAGCGGTATAATGTCTGTGTGTGGAGTTATGAATATGTACTCGGTATGGAGACTGGAAGTTTCTCTGTATGTGATTGAGCAATGGGCTCAGCCGATGGACATGCTAATTAGCAAGGCTCCAGGGACACTAGGTCTCTCAAATACCAGAGACCCACCTATGAAGGAATCTAGGTGCCTGGTCAGAGACCATGACTTTCTCCAGCTTGGAAGAAGCCAGGAGGGGAGATAAATAGGCCATGTGACCGATTCCAACTCGGTCTTCAGATCTGCTCCTAACCCCAGATGCGGCCTCGCAGGGAATCACAAGCCAGGAAGAATTGTGGACCCATTCGGATATAGGATGTACACCAACGACTTTTAAGTCAGCAGTTATAACATCTCTGCTACAAGCCTGCATTGAGAACTGGGAGATTCGATGCATGTAATGTATGATACTTTAACAACCTTACTCTCATGCTTTTCTTTCTTGAGTAATAAACCTTTAGGTGTTAGATTCTAAAGGATTGGCTTAGAGTGAACTCGTGGGTAAGATTCAGATGGTAAATTGACCTGGGAACTGTGGCTGGTTTCTCACCTACTTGTTTGGGGTAGGTGAGATTGGGCTCTAAAACCCCTCACCTGTGTATGAGGCCCGGGGCCATCTAGAGCACAGATATTGCTGGGGCGTCAGAGGGGTTTTGCTCGTGAGGCTTCTAGCTGGCCAGGCAGGCAGCAGAAGTACTCTGTGAGACTGGTTTGTAGCCTGTTTGGGAAGGTCTCCAGTGTGGGGGCTGTAAGGAGCCCCGAATTTGAGTAATTTGCCCTGAGCGGATGCCCTCAGCAGTGCCCAGACCCGGACTGGTCTGTCACACCAGGGGTTAGAGGACTTACTGTTTCAAGTTCTCCCTCCCCACAGTGGGAAGAAGGAATTTGAATTGGGATCTCTCAAGTCTCAGGAGAGGATGCAGGCCCCTGAACTGTGAGAGATTCTGAGACTCCCAGTCCCTCCTGTTTAAGATGTTCCACTTTTGATAAATAATTAGTCCTTGGGTCAGAGAGAGAGGGTATGTCTACACTAGCTCGTTAGTTCGAGCTAGGTAGGCAAATGAGGGCAACCGGAGTTGCAAAGGAAGCCCGGGATTTAAATATCCCGGGCTTCATTTGCATGTTCCCAGGTGCCGCCATTTTTAAATCCCCCTTAGTCCGAACTCCGTGCCCACGGCTACACGCAGCACGGAGTAGGTAGTTCGAATGAGAGATTCTAATTAAATCCTGGGCTTCATTTGCAACTCTGGTTGCCCTCATTTGCCTACCTAGCTCAAACTAACAAGCTAGTGTAGACATACCCAGAGAGAAAGGGCGAGCGAGCAAGCAAGCAAGCAAGCAGAGACTGACTTAATGGCTTGGTAGTTAGACTAGGTAGTTTTCTATTCATCCGACCTGTAGGAAACTCAGGATCCTGTCCCCCTGCTCCACTGCCAGTTTGTTCTCTCCTGAAATGACATTCCATTTATATTACCTCATTTCTTTTCCAAATGTGTTTGGGGTCTTTTTCTTTTGTCCCCCATGTCCTCCTTCATTGCCCCAACAAAACAAAAAACGTCAACTTCATGGGTGGCAGGTGAATGAGCTATTGGGCAAGGTTCAGCCCTGCTCCCTCCCTCTTTTCCTGAGGTCCTGCCCTGCCTCTTTCACCTTCCCTTACCTCCTGGAGACTGGATCATTACAGCCAGAGTGCCCCCAGACTCAAAATCCTGGGCAGGCAGGATGGCAAGGCTAGTGCTAGTCAGGTGGCAAGGCTAGTGCTAGTCATGGCTGGTCCCAGAGTCAGATGTTTGATTGGGGTGGTATGGCCCTACTCCAGGACCATGTGCACACTGACCCCAACCTGTCTGTCCCCCCACCCTCTCAGCCACACCAGGAAGGAAACTGGAAGTGGGCAGGTGGTTCCTGGAGGCAGAGTATGGATGGGACCATGCCAGGCTTTTTGGAGGGGCACAGCCTTCTCCTGCCTATGCTATCCACTGTCTATGGTCACCTTTTGTCAGAGCTGCTAAGAGAATTTCTGGGTTAAGGGGACTGAAGAGACATTCCCCTCCCTACTGCTTTCCCATGTCCTGCCTATTGATGTTTCTGTAGCACCCCATAAATGCTGAGGTACACTGTGGTTGGGTATCTGCCCACACTGGCCTCCCTAGTGTGGCTGAGTGATAGGCAGCCACAGCTGTGGTAGCAGTTAATGTGGTTGAGTGTCAGGCAACCACAGGTGCAGCTGCATATAATTAGCTGACTGATAAAAGGGAAGCTGCAGACCAAGGCGTGGGAGTGTGCTGCATGGAGCCTGACGGGGGAGGCTGGCTTCCAAGAGGGCTGCACAGCTAGCACCAGGAAAGGCCTTGCAAAATATGGCAGGCTCAAGGCCCAGGGAGGAGAGAGCTTGGAGTGGGAGGTAAAGGTGCTGGGTGCTGCAGGGATGTGGCCAGCGGTAGAGTTGGAGGAGGGGCACTGAAAGGCAGTTGCTAAAGGGTCCCTGGGTCATTTCCCCATCTAATTCTCTTCCTACACATGCCAGTGACGAAGTATCCAGAATAGACTGCAGTTTGCCACTGGACTACGAGGCTAGACCAGCAACGGGCAATCTTGACTGGTGTATGGGCCGCATGAGTGGCTCCCCTCATCTCAGTGGGCCACAAGACTGGCATAACCAAGACGGTGTCTCAGGATAGAGCAGTTTTGCTAATTGCACTTGCATACTTAAGATTTCTGGGGCATACCCACTGAACTCGAGCAGCCCTTTGATTGGATTCAGAGGGAGCACGTGGCTCTCAGTCACTACTGTGTGCAATTAGCATGTACCTCACATTATGTGCACTTGCTTTTTGTGTGTCACTTTAGTAATACCAGCAGGGGAAAAAACCTATGTAGATGGAAACCAGTGTAATCTGGTAACTCAACACCTGGGAAACAGTAAATAAAATGTAATGTGGGCTGCACATAGTCCCCTGGTGGGCTGCAGGTTGCTCACCGCTGGGCTAGCGTAAGGATTGTAATGGACCTCCAAGGTGAATGACAAGATAGTGGGTTGCTGCTCCGCTGATTGAGAGGAGGGGCAATAGCACTGGGGTCTGTCAGAGGGCTGTGCCCCATGGTGGATGCCATGGGTTTGGACAGAGTATGGAATAGAAGTGATGGTGGCAAGACACCATGGCTACGTCTACACGTCAGGCTTCTTGCTCAAGAACTGTATTGCGCAAGAGTTCTTGTGCAAAAGTTCTTGTGCAAGAGTGCATCCACACTGCCATGTGCTTTTGTGCAAGAGCGTCCATGGCAGTGTGGATGCTCTCTTGCGCGTGAAAGCTCTGATGGCCATTTTAGGCATAGGAGTTTATTGCGCAAGAAATCCACGTTGCCTGTCCACATTGCCTTCTTGCGCAAGAGCTCTTGTGGAAAAAAAGGCTTATTCCTTGTGTGGAGAGGAATAACTCTGCCATGAGAAGCCCTCTTTTCTGACGCTGAACTGTAAATTTACTTGTGCAAGAACATGCATGCAGTGTAGATTTTCTGCAAGTTTTTGCGCAAGAACAATTGTTCTTGCGCAAAAAGCCTGCAGTGTAGACATAGCCCACGGGTATAGGGTGCCCAAGGGAAAGGGTTGATAGAGCTTATTCCCAGAATGACCAGCAGGAGGTGCCTTGGCAGTGAGTTGAACCCCATGGCATACATACACTTTACTTTTACTGAGTGAAACTCTCTTTTATTTTAACATTTCACTTTTCAGCTGTGTCCTATTCTTCCTGTGCTACTAGGAAATAAGATGTTTATAAATAAATATTTTCACACTCCAAGTATATGTATATCCTGTATAAGGAGAGGAAGAGAGATTTGATACTCTTTCTAAAAATCCTATATTACAGCAATGTCTATATTCAGAAGTAATGAGATTACATGTCAGAACAGAGAGTAAATATTTAAAGTTTAAGGTTTAGCTGTGAAGGAAGGGTGAAAAATCTGCTCTTCCACTGCTGTTTGGGACTCTGTATGCTCACCAGTATCTTCTTTTGAGGGCTGATTTACTTGGAAAATCACTAACAAAGCCCCTGAAAAACTGCCATAATCTGTCATTACTTTATCACCTGCCTTTCTGTTGGAGACTCTTCCCACAGCAGAGAAATTAGCTTAGGAAAGCAAAGTTTGAACTGTGAATTCCTGTTATTTCAAAACACCTCATGTGACAGGATATTTCCTTATCATTTAGAGCACAGAGCTTTCCCCTGATCCGTCAACCCTTCACAAGAACTGGGGACCTGCTACCTGGTTCACTTCAGAAATATTTTTGTGATAGAAACTAAACAGTGATTCATCTTTCATTGTGGTGGTGGGGAAGAAAATATCCATACGTTTGTGATGAGGCTTTCCCTGCTCCTGGTTTTTCTCTCTCTATGTCAGAGTGCCTTTCAGCTGCTGGGTAAGTGTTTGCTCTGTCTGAGCTGTGAGTATGGATGTTGGTGTGGAAGTGCATCTGTTCTCATGCGTTGAGACCTATTTTGTGTTGCAGGAACCTGATGGTTGTCTGTTATCAACCTCAATTTACACATCTGGAACAAATGTGGTAGACATGTTTGCCCCTCTAGCTGTGGTCTGTGGAATCCTCTGTCAAGTGAAGAAGAGGATTTAAACACACAGCAGCAATGGGCAGGAGCAGAGATGGGTCGGTGGGGAGGGAGGAGGAGGAGAGAGAGACGCATGGAAAGGTTCCTTGAGGGGGAATGGTTAAAGCAATTGTGAACCTGTCTGAGTATATACGGTGTAACAGGCCCCTTCCTATTCACAGGAGCCATTAGTTGCAACTCATGTACATCGCTCTGCTGCCACTGCTTTGCTGCTTCTAAAGCAATACATCAATTGTTTTTTTGGAGTGCTGGAGGCCACTCTCCTGTGCTGATTTTATTATTCCCCCTCCCCATGTCCTGCTGTCTACACAAGCTCCTCCCTCAGCTACTTCTCCTGTTCTCCACTCTTGAGTGTTTCTCCCGTATCGGACAACTTTTCCTTTCCCATACCCCAAGCTTCTCTTTGCTCTCTTGAAGCTCTAGTAGCACTCCCTTACCTTGTCCTCATAGCACTGAGGGACCAAGGAGAAAATGGCTCTGGATTTCTAAGAAATCTGGGCTGTCAGCTTGTAACTTTTAACCCAGGAGGTAGAGTCACAACTTGAAGGCACCTATTTCCTCTGCTCACTGACCTGTTCTTCATTAAAGAAATTCCTTCTTCACACCCTATGCATTGGCTGAATTACATCCTTTATTTTCCTCCTCATCCCATCCCCTCAGTGATAGCGAAGTTGAGTCCATTCTTTTCCAGTCCTGCCTGTGGCAGATTTACGGCTGCAAGCGCCCACTACCTGGCAGAGGTGTGGGGACCAACGAGCCCACCGCCTTAGTTTACCCATGGAAGACGGACTTAGGGGCACGAGCTCCCACTCTCTGGCATGAGGGCAGAGCCCAGCAAGCCCACCATCGTAAGAGTGTTGTGGGACCCCTGGAGGTCCCTTAGCCTCTAAGTTCTGACCCCTTCCTGGGTCCTGATAATGATAGCTTTTGCCCTCTAGGCCAGCTGGCCAGCAGTACCTGCTAATCAATGAGAGTGTAGGGTATCAAGGGAGGGGGTTTTAGGTGGCCCCGGGCCTGCCCTCTTCACCAGGTCCCTGCCCAGGGCCCTAAGGAAGGAAGGAAGCCTCTGGTATGCAGTGCACACCTAATCATACCTCCAGTGGAGCATAATTTGCACCTGCTCAACTAGACAAAAAAGGGGTCAGCTGGCACAAACATTGCTCATACAAAGGAATAGCGTCCTCACATGCAGCACTGCAACCTTTGCAGCAAACACTGAACTACAGAACAATGGGCAAAGGTGAGGGAGGTTGTGCTGACCTCTTCAGGTCTCTTCCAGTTCTACTGTTCTATAATTCCAAGGAAAATGTGGTTATGTGACAGATGCTGTTTAGCTTCAATCCCTTACCTTTTATAGATAAGATAGGAACCCCAACAAGAATTACTTTGTGGAAAAGAGAGATCCCAATGTAGTTATAAAGAGGAATTTTGATGGAGATGTAGGGAGAAATAAGAACAGACATACTGGGTCAGTCCGAAGGTCCAACTAGCCCCATGTCTTATCTTCTGACAGTCGCCAATGCCAGATGCCCCCAGGGGAGTGAACAGGACAGGTAATCATCAAATGGTCCATTCCCTGTCATTCATTCCAAATATCAGACAAACAGAAGCTAGGAATACCATCCCTGACCATTCTGCCTAATAACCTTTGATAGATCTATCCTCCATGAATTTATATATTTCTTTTTTAACTCTGTTAGAATCTTGGCCTTCACAACATCCTTTGGTACGGAGTTCCACAGGTTGACTCTGCATTGTGTGAAGAAATAATTCCTTTTGTTTATTTTAAAACTACTGCCTATTATTTTCATTTGGTGATCCCTAGTTCTTGTATTATGAGGAGTAAATAGCACTTCCTTACATACTTGCTCTATTCCAGTCATGATTTTATAGACAATCATATTTCCCCTTAGTCATCTCTTTTCCAAGTTGAAAAGTCCCAGTCTTGTTAATTCTTCCTCATATGGAAGCTGCTCCATACCCCTAATCATTTTTGTTGCCCTTTTTCTGAATCTTATTCTGAGATGGGGCAACCATATCTACGTGCAATATTCAAGATGTGAGCATACCATGAATTTATACTGAGGCAATATGGTATTTTCTGTCTTATTATCAGTCCCTTTTTAATTATTTCCAACATTGTTAGCTTTTTTTCTGCTACTTCACATTGAGTGAATGTTTTCAGAGAACTATCCACAAGGACTCCACGATCTATTTTTTGAGTGTTAACAGTTAATTTAAACCAACAATTCGTACATATAGTTGGAATTATGTTTTCCAATGTGCATTACTTTGCATTTATCATTTTTAAATTTAATCTACCATTTTGTTGCCTAGTCACCCAGTTTTGAGAAATTCTTTTGTGCCTCTTCGCAGTTTGCCTGGGACTTAACTATCAAATAATTTTGTATCATCGGCAAATTTTGTCACCCCTTTTCCACATCATTTATGGATATGTTGAAGAGGACAGGTCCTAGAACAGACCCCTGAGGAACACCACTATTTATCTCACTCAATTCTGAGAACTGACCATTTATTCCTACCCTTTGTAACCTGTTACCGATCCATGAGAGGACTTTCCCTCTTATCCCATGACAGCTTACTTTGCTTAAGTGTCTAAGGTGTGGGATTTTGTCAAGGGCTTTCTGAAAATTTAAGTACTCTGTATCCACTGGTTCCCCATTGTCCATATGATTGTTGACTCCCCCCTTCTTCCTACTTAAAGAATTCTAGTAGGTTGGTGAAGTATGATTTCCCTTTACAAACATAATGTTGATTTTTTCCAACAAATTATGTCCATCTATGTGTCTGGAAATAGTGTTCTTTACTATAGTGAAGCCCAATACCAGAGTCAGGCTTATCGGCCTGTCATTGCCAGGATCACCTCTGAATCCCTTTTTAAAGATTGGTATCACATTAGCTATCCTCTGGTCATTTAAAGCTGATTTAAAGGATAAGTTATAAACTACAGGAAATAATTTTTCAATTTCACATTTGAATTATTTCAAAAATCTTGGATAAATGCTATCTGACCCTGGTGACGTATTAGTGTTTAATTTCTCAATTTATTCCAAAAGGTCCTCTTATGACACCTCAGTTTGAGACTGTTCCTCACATTTGTCACCTAAAAAGAATGGCTCTGGTTTGTGAATCTCCTTCACATTGCCAGCCCTTAAGGTTGATGCAAAGAATGCATTTACTTTCTACACAATGGCCTTATTGTCTTTGAGTGTTCTTTTAGTACCTTGATCATCAGTGGCCCCATAGCTTTTTTAGCAGGCTTTCTGCTTCTGATGTACGTTAAAAATTGCTATTCTTTTTTTGACTTTTTTAGCTAGTTGTTCTTTAAATTCCTTTTGACCTTCCTAATTATATTTTTACACTTTGACAGATCTTATGCTCCTTTCTATTTTCCTCAACAGGATTTAACTTTCACTTCTAAATAATGTCTTTTTATCTCACTGCTTCTTTTAGCAGAGTTGTTACTTGGCCATGGTGGCACTTTTTTGGTTCTTTTTATGTTTTTTAATTTGGGGTATACATTTAAGCTGAGCATCTATTATAGTGTCTTCAAATGTTTCTATGCAGCTTGAAGGTACTTGGCTTTTGGTACTGTACCTATTCACTTCTGTTTAACTAACCTCATTTTCTGAAATTAAATGCTACAGTGTTCTGCTGCCATGGTATTTTTCCTGCTACAGGGATATTAAATTTAACTATATTATGGTCACCATTACCAAACGGTCCAACTATATTCACCTCTTAGACCAGATCCTGTGCTCCACCTAGGACTAAGACAAGAATTGCCTCTCCTCTTGTCCTGTTACAGGACCAGCAACTCCAGGAAGCAGTTATTTAAGATATTAGGAAATTTTATCTCTGTATAAGAACAGCAGTTGCACATGCTGTGTGTTTTGTTTGGCAGAAGACAAATCAGAAGACTAAAATAGGCATAAAGGAGCATCAGAAATAGGGAAGTACTGTGTGGGAAGTCTATTGTATGGTGAAATAGGAAGGGAGGCATAGTAAAGGTACAAAGAGACCTGCATAAACCAGAATAGCGGAGAGCCAGCATGGGGATATACTACAAATCAGTCACAGGTGCCACAGGGGCAGTGTTTATTGAAAGGAAAGTGCACAGCTGTATAGGCCACCACCTCATCTGGACTCCTAATGTGTCTTCTATTCGCTTGTTCCGTGCCAATTGTTGTCAATTTCCAGTTTCTGCTTGCTGTATTCTGTTCCCCCTACATACTACATGCTTCATTCTGGGTTGAGCCCTGGGCTGCCTACCTTTGTATTTTCTGTTAGTACAGATGCATGTTAAGCCCTTGTACTAGTTAAAGCAGCCACATCCTGTTTCATTTTATGCACTACTAGCACTGCTTGTCCAGGTGTGGTTGGAAAAGCCTAAGTCCTGGGATGCTTTCCCTGAGTACATCTCTGTCACTGCACAACTGATCTATAGCCATTGAACATTTCAGGTACCTGAACAATTCAGGTTTGGGCTCAGTTTATATCTTTTGGCACATATTACCTCTTCTTTTAAACTCTGCAAGTGGCACAAAGCACAGAATGCTAACTTAAGCCACAAAATGTGATTCTGAATATGAGTCAGTGTTTTCAAAAGTATGCAAATCTCTCCAGTTGTCTTTCACCTAGTGCCTTTAAATAAGGATTCAGGAAAAAAGAGGGTTGTTTCAAATTGTAGACTTTGCATATATATCAGTTTCCAATAACACTTCATTAACTGTTAATTCAAAAGCATGATAAAATAATTTATCACTAGTGACAATACTTATACATTTCCTTGTATTGTCTGCAAGTAAAACTAATTGGCAAGAGGCAACAGTTTGTCCCCTGCGCTCATCAGTTTTATGTTGCTTCCTAATGAATTGGAAGCAAAGGACAAGAGAAGGAAACCAAAGAATGGATGAGATAAGTCAGCTTTTCCTCTGAGTCAGCAAGTTATCCATCTCTGGGTTATCCTTCCTCCGGAGAGTATAATCATTTACACATTGGAGTCTCAACAACAACAACAAAAAATTACAACTACATATTGGAGCTCATCTGGCATCCCTCCCAAAGTATTTGCAACTTGTGTAATAAATTTTCTTGGCAATTATTTTATTCAATAATTAGCAATTATCCAGAATACCTTAATTAAGGTCTCCTTTTTAACTGTATATCTGAAAGCGCATTTTAAGTATTGTACATGCTTTGAATTTCATCGCTAGACATCAATTTGAATTGCTAAACAGGACAATATCATTTTAAAATTCACGTTAAAAGGATCAACACTGACAAGCAAGCTATGGGCCAGATCTATTGTGTAATGGCTTTCATGACTGATTTAGATGTAATGTAAACATGGAGGAGGTGGGAGAAGGAAAAGAAATCTCTACTGTGGTTGTGAAAGAATCCTTGATAAAGCAAACTGAGTGTGAGCCTGTGCATGAGGACCTTTGTTTTCAGTTTTTACTGATTTCTACTGAAAATTTCCCAGATTTTTACAAAAACTGTTATTTTTTTAAACCAATCTTTATCTACATTTTGGAAGGGCTGGAGCCCCTGGACACAGCTCCACATCTGGGCATGGGGCCATCTTGCTTAGTGGCACCAGGAGCCAGCCCCAAAACGGAAGACATGCAGGAGGTGCAGGTGCTATCTCCTCATGTTGTTTCCTCCTCCTCTTCCACATCCAGGCACACTCTGGAAGAATGGCAGCAGCTCCATCAGCAACACATGGCCCAGGTTACCCAGCTGCCATCTCTCCTTCCAGAGCAGCCTAGATGTACAGAGCAAGTCGAGTGCCACTGCTGTAAGGCACATACACATTACTTCAGGGCTACTCAACACACAGCCCGTGGGCTGCATGTGGCCCATAGCCCATTTGTACGCGGCCTGTGGTGTGGTTTGGGTTTACGTGGGATTCAATATGGGGCCCACGGGTGGGAGCCAAAACAAAAAAGTAGTCATTGTAATGTTCTTCTGCTGATATGCGTTTTAGTAGTTAAATTCCTGGACTGTCATTGCTCATTTAAAAGTGCTGTCATATGGGTGGAAATTGGGTAAATGTTGCATTTTATTAGTATCAGGAGAACTGACTTAAATGGGGCCTATGTGTTGTGTAGTCTTGCCTTAATCTTTGTATTCATGCCTGTCAGTGTGAAGAAGCTATTTGCATATATTTACATATACATTTGCATGTATATGCAACCACACTTAAGTTGCAGCCCTTAGCATGTGCTGTGAGTATCATTGTGGTCCCCGGGGCTTCCAAAGTTGAGTAGCCCTGCAATACTGGCTTTACTGCTTGCATGGATGGTTCTCAGCATTCAAAGCAGAGAAGTTCTTGAACTACATTTTGAGCTGAAAAATGAAAAAGTGTATCTGATTACGTTTTACAATATAAGGGGATTATTTTGAATGAAAACAAAACAGCAGGAGAAGCAAGTGATATTTACCTAGAGAATGGTGAAGTTAATTTTTTTCCAGCAATTTCCACCCTTTTTTAAAAAAAGGAATAAATGCCTAGAGAATATTAAAACAAAACCTGAAAATGCAGGGCCATCTGCCCAAGTCTGGAACAATAGCTCAGGAAGGTGTTAATTACAATAACCTGTGGCAGTAGTTAAAATAGCAACCCTGATAGCTATTTTATTCCTTGTGAAAGCATGTGGGGAAATAAGGGGGTAGAGGGAAATCACAGATCTGTGCATTTTACGGGAGTGATTTATCATTTGGGACCCATGGGCCCTCCTGACAAATCATTTGAGCACATTTAGCAGGTACAACCTATTCTCCCCCCCACTCCCAATAAAGAACAAAGCCTCAGTACCATAGCAAAAATTGTCATGGCATCAGACTTCCCTGCTCAAGGAGAAGCCAGTGCCTTGGAGTGCATGGGTAAATCCAAACCAGGAGCTGCACAATATATAGTTCATGGTGCATGGTTTTTAGTGATGCTTGTGGTCACAGCTTCCCTCCCCTCCCCCGCCCTGCTTCCAGTCTCACTGCTGATTTAGGCCTTCGGGGTCTGACCCTCTACTTCCTTGCACCTATTGTATTACCATTTATACATATTCAAAATACATTTAAATATTCTCAGATTAGAATTAGTAGTATTTTGCACTCACTTTGAACAGGGTGAGGTTCAGGGTAGTAAAGAATCATGCCGCCTTTAACTGAACAGTAGATAGAACTTAACCCACAATTAAGTGTCCAAATGACACCTTAAGTGTCCACACCCTTAAGTCTACCTAAAACCATCCCCATGTAATATTATTGTTGTAATTTTTTGTTTTACAGATACCAGAGTATTTTTAATATATAATGAAGACCACAAGCGCTGTGTAGAAGTTCAGAGTTCCAGTTCAGTCACAACAGCCTCTTGCAACCAGGACAATGAGTCTCAAAAATTCAGGTGGGTCTCTGATCACCAGCTGATGAGTGTGGCATTGAAGTTATGCTTAGGAGTGCCATCAAAGAAAGACTGGATTCCAATCACTTTGTATCCGTGTGATAAAGCAAGTGAACTCCAAAAATGGGCATGCCGAAATGAGACCCTTTTTGCCATCCAAGGAGAAGATTTATTTTTCAACTATGGCAACAAACAGGAAAAGAATATTATGCTCTATAAGGGATCAGGAGTATGGAGTAGATGGAAGATCTATGGAACCACAGATGATTTGTGTTCCAGATTCTATGAAGGTAATGTTTTGGAAATTATTTTGGTCATTTTGCAAAAATACCTATTAAAGAATTCTGATGTCTATTAATTTACTTAGTTTTGTAATTGTTCAATGAGCAAAATTCCCAATGAAATCAACAAGAGTTTGAGAGGGGAAGATTTAATGGGCTCTATTAGCCCTGGTCTATACTAGGTCTTTGTTTCAAAATAACCCCTCTTAGGTCGAAATAATAAGCGGAGCATCCACGCTACCAAGCCTGTTATTTTGAAATAATGGGCTGCTAATTTGAAATCTGTACTTCTGCTTTCCTCAGAGAATAACTCCTATTTTGAAATAGTGGCAGTGTGGACACTCCAGTGCTATTATTTCAAAATAATTACTCCGCGGAGTAATTCAAACTAATTACTCTTCAATGCTTCCTGAGGCTCTAAGTCGAGGAAGCATGTCCACATTAATGGAGCCTGCCTCAGACTAATTTCAAGGCTTCCCTGTAGTGTGGACATGCTATTTCAAGAGTTACTAAATCAGGTTTAGTTATTTCAAAATAGTTATCTAGTGTAGACATACCCTGAGTGAATTGACCATCCAAAAGAGCATTTCTGGTGAATAATGGCACTAATTACACAACACAAGAATATAACTATACCAATCAAGTATTTAATGATGCTGTTATTTGTACATGTGTAGGAGTGGATATAGAAACACTAAAAATGCACACTCAATCATTGTTATACATGCTTTCCTTCTATGGGAATAAATACAGAAATATACTGTGTTTATCTTGGAGTTTATGTAACATCATCTATTCATCTCCAGGACACTGAAAATTACTGTTTCATTACTTGGGGCAGCTCCCAAGATTATTGTGGAATAAGCAAGAATACTGGATATTTTAATGAATTTAATTGTACATTTTGAATATAAATACAGGCAGTCCCCGGGTTACGTACAAGATAGGGACTGTAGGTTTGTTCTTAAGTTGAATCTGTATGGGTACGTCTACACTACAACGTTAATTCGAACTAACTTAGTTCGAATTAGTGTTTTGCTAATTCGAACTAGCATGTCCACATTAAGTGGACCCTGAACCGGGGTTAAGGATGGCCGGAAGCAGTGCCGGCAGGGAATCAGAGGAGGACTTAGAGCATGGAGATGTTGTCTCAGGCTAGCCGAGGGCTGTGCTTAAAGGGACCTGACCCCCACCCCGGACAGACAGTTCTCAGGGGTGCCCCGCTTGCAAAGCAGTCCTGGCTTGGAGTGCCCGGAGTACCCACACTGGGCACATCACACCACTCGGCCATCAGCCCGGCTGCACTTGCCGCAGGCTGCCATCTGGGGAGAGGGGGCAATTGGGGGGCTGCAGGAGAGCTTCCACCCCCAGAAGCCCGCAGAGCCAGCCCAGTCCTCCCCATCGGGGGCTCGTACCCCATTCCTCCCTCACCTTCTTCCACTTACCCTTCCCTAGCCCCTTTTCTTGATGTACAAAATAAAGGACAATTGTGTTCAAAAATGGAATCTGTCTTTATTGAACAAAACTGGGGGAGACAGTGAAAAGGAGGGGGGAGAGCGGAAGAGAGAGGCTGGGAGAGGGGAGGGCAACTACAATGATCAGGGGTTGGGAACAGGTCCCATATGAAGAGAGGTTAAAGAAACTGGGACTT